AGGGCATTATTTTTTTTAAAAAGTAAACGGTTACAAATGAAAAGATTCAAAACAGACATGGTTTCCCATTTCACTGAAACAGACGTTAAAAGCATGAAAGCGTTGTTGCCTCCTCCATGTTCCCTTTCTTTCTTTTTCTCACTAAAAACCAAACAGCGTCTCGAACATATCTTTTTCTTCCACCTTTCGTTACAATCAAAATAAAATGGTTCATTATTTATCTGAGATAATGGCAAGGCGTAACGTACGCGCTAATTAAACAAGCATAATTATCATGTGATGATGATTGAAAATGCGTCATCTAATAAAAATGAAGATGGAAGAATATACGCATTATGCAAAAATTAATAATAATGGTTGGTAATGCTTCATCTAATAAAAATTGTACTGCTATTAGTGGTATTTTTTTTTTTTACTCAATTCTGAATTATGACTGACCTCTAAGCTACGACTTCTGTGATCGCCTGACTAATCAATGCTCTTGGATGAGCTTAAAATATTGCTTAATACTGCCCTAAATAAGGGTCTTATAGGAATATCATAGTGTACAAATCTCACTCGATGTATGTGCTTTGGTTTTGAACTCCAAACATACGTCACTGAAAATATCCAACAGTCAAAGCCATAAGATACTTATTTTCTTAAAACCACAAAAATGTGACACGAAACAGGAAAATGGAGGGAATAAGTCGATGGTGATCTTTAACATTTTGTCATTAACTTCGTCGCTTTCACTGTTTCAGTCTTTGTTATTTTATTCTTTTACAACAACGTCGTATTTATTCTCTCCTCAGGTATTCTAATTAATATTCATATTAACAATTTTCATGTGGGGATAAAACAAATGATTCATATTTTGTCATTAAAAAAAAAATTAACCCGGTGATTTGAAATTATATAATATTTACAGAAAAAAGAAAATGGCGCACTCTTTTGTCCTTCGAACTGGCAGAAAGATCGCTTTTGTCTGGATTTATCTGTTCCATATGACTCGGCAACAATTGTGATTAACTGAAAAATATTGAAAGCTAAATTCTGACTTCGTGCACACTTCAACCGGAAGTAATGTGTGGAACCCACTGCGAACTGACTGTTTTTTGGTCATATCGGCTCCCGCTGTGAGAGCGTCCATATCCGGTGTAAGCTCTGGCTGTGGTTCGCCGCAATAATATTTATTGAGTTATTGACGCCCTTAACAGAAATTGAATTCTTTATGAGAGAAAAAAAAATCTCAATGAAAATATTTACATATTTGAAGAACGGATATATCATGCATTCCACTATGCCTTCTCCCTTTCTTTCTTCTTGGTTAATTTTTAGTCAAACTGTGTTGAATTTGGTGCGAAGATCTGTCCAAAGAGATTAGTGGCTGAGATAGTTGAGCATAATACACCGGTGACAGTGGTTGGTGTTTGAACCCAGTATAAACCAAATGTTAGAATGTTAATTTTCAAAGCGCAAAGATTAAGCCAACACAAACTGTCTACTGTAGCTCGAGTGATATCAAATTTGTTCTGCAGAACATTAAACTTGTAATGCGAGTTCAATCCTCATAGGAGCTCCACTATTGTAAGCTTGGGAAAGTAATAATAAAATGGGGAAATTAACAATTTCCTTACAAGGAAACATTTGGCACTAATTGACTGAACACTTAGATTTACTGTCGTTGGAAATTTATAAAATATTTTAAAACAATCTTTCAAGAAAAAGGTTTCTCAAGACCACTAACTCTTGTATCCTTTCTAGTATTTTCTTTGGAGCAATATGTAACGTTAACATATTCGTTACATCATTATTTTCTCTTCAAGTAAAATGTACTATGCTTGTTAGTGGTTGCAGCTGTTGGAATTCTTCGCGTGAAGTGTTTTTTGTTTTTTTGTTATTTCGTAATGTTTTATTTTGTTTTGTTTTTTTGTTTTTTTGACTTGTGTAGCACTAATCTATGAGGTATGATGAAGAAATTATTTATGACCTACAGGGTACGTTCGCTTGAAGCTATTTTTAACCATAGATTTTAGAAAAGAGAGTGAGAAACGAATTCTTAATTGCCGAAAATATGTTCAAAAAGTTAATTTGATTGTCAGCCGTGGGATTCTCTGTAGACAAGCGGTTTAAATCACGCCAGACCAAACGGTGGTTTCTGATGAAGCAAGCTCGAAAACGGGACGTTCTACTTAAATACGGGCATCCACTAAAAATAACGTTTGAAGTAATAAAAAAAATATGTCGGATTAAAAAAAGATTAAAAATTCTTAATTAATTCTTTTTATTGACCCTTTTCCTGTTTTGACAGCGCAAGTGGACACTGCCTCTTTTCCTCCATATTTTAAAATGGATCGTTCGAAATCTTTTGGTAGTATAGAGTTGGTGCATAATTATCAGGCGTTCTATTATGAAAAAAGAAACAATAATTCAACAATAACATTTTAAATGAGTATAATTATCGACACACATTTCTATATCCCGAAAATAAAATAATATTTTTATTTAAAAAAAGTAAACAAAATAACAATTTTTATTAACAAATAATTCGTCTACAAAAACGCCTGATAATTATGCACCAACCCAATATTTATTGCCATTCAAAGACAAACTTATTGGCAATAATTTAAGGTTTGTCATACAAAAATAAGCCGGCCTTCTTGGCATGTGTCTATTCCTTGTTCTTCTTCTCGTCTTCGTATTTACTAAATTTATTTTAGTCCGGCACAAGGCCATAAATACGAAGGGAGTGAGTGAGGATCAAACACTCTACACAGTAATGTTAGTGTTCTAAACGAGAGAGTTAACCATGACCTCAAATGAAGGCCACCTCCTGGAAAGCAAAAAAAAAATGAAACCAATAGTTTGAACGACGTTTGGAAAATTACAGATTAACTCCTAATCTCTTTGCATCTCTCTTATGAATTATTTCGCTGCAATGATTACTCTTATTTGCTTGTTGTTGGCGTAACAAAATTCCCCTCTATAATGACACACATAAACAGCATCCCAGAAGTGCTGTAGATGCTATGAAACGTCGCAACAGAAGACCTAATCTAGTTACAGGAATAGTATACAACATTAACAACTTTTAAACCATATTTGTCAAAACTAGAAAATATACAAAAAAAAACATTTTTAAAAATCTATTTTAAGGCAGATTAGTACCTGTCTATATTTCTGAGATGAGGTATCATGTACATTATTTACATTGTTTGGACTACCATTCTCAAGGACACATGGCAGTGGATAAAGGCGTTAGTTAGATCCAGTGACAGGACCCAAAGAGTGTGAGTTCAATACCCGGTTAAGACGGTGGAGAACTTGGAGAGGGGAATTAACAGAAGATAACTGATAACTGACATCCATTAGACGTGAAACTAGAACAATCTACCCCAGCGAGGAAAATAAAGGGTTCAATTCGACATTCCAACCACCTGAAGAAGGCCGGAGCGTACAACAGCCGAAACGTTGTAATAAATATGGCAACAAAGATGAGAATGATAATCTGATCAATGTAAATAGTGTAAGGCAGATTAATCGAATAAATTAGTCAACGCTCTTTAAGAAACACTATTGTAAAACCTATTGCCTTACTTTGCAATTTTCGTTAACTATCACCCATTATCCGTTAAGTTATATGCAAAAAATAATTTCAAATTGCTAAGCGACTACAATTCTTTGTTCCAAACTAATTGCTATTTCAAGGCTAATTTTATAAAAACTTCCTTACTAACCAACAGAATGGTCATTGATTCAATTAAAAAATACAGAACTGTCTTGTATATTATTCGTTATGGGTACATATAAGAACTACGGCATTCTGTAGTATCTGTTCTACTTCCTCTGTCGAATGCTGGTAAAAGGATGCGGGATACAGTGCCGTGTTCATATCACGCCCTGTCGGTTGCAGTCAAGAATACGCCGACGCCATCTCCATGCAGAGGGATAACCCCACCCTGTTTGTTATACTTATGTCTACCTTTTTTGACACTCATGCATCTAAACCTATGTCTACCAACTGTTTATCAAAATGACAAAATTCGGCATTAAATAATTTGGAAATGGTTGATATACCTAAAATAAAACAAAACATACTGTGTTCATGTCTTCAAGCAGTTCTCGTCCGCGATGAAGGGAAAATGGTTTCGCGAATTCCAACCCTATAGCAGATTTGCACTGAAAATGTAAGAGAATGCAACCAGCCACTACCCCCCCCCAAATGTAAATTAAATCGCTTTCGGCTCTGATTTCTTTAATTCTTCTGATGACAATATCAAGTCTTTGTGCTGCAATTGTAATTAACAATTAATTCCCGACGGTGAATCGGTAAAATAACAATAACTTCGAGTTAGAAATACAGCCAGATAATAAAACACATTAAGACTGATAACAGCGAATAGTATATACATGTTACGTTGGAGACGTTCTCCTATACACAGTAATCCCATTTGATGAAAGAGGGGATACAACTCCCCCAGTAAGAAATTTTATATTAATTATTTGAGCTGTCCTCCTCTCTGTCTGATGACTCAGATGTTTATACCGTTTAAATTGCTTCATTTTAATAAATTCAAAAACATCATCATCATCATCATCATCATCATCATCATCATTATTATTATTATTATTATTAAAAAACAGTTTCTTTTTTGTATTTTTCATATTTTAATCTTTGAAATAAATGTTTTGGTTAAATAGAAGTTTTGAAAACTATACTGTTGCATCATTGACCAGTACCTCGTTAGGTTTCTTTATTGATTGATTCATTTTCTACGGATTATCAATCCATTGCAGGTTATTTAGAGACAAAAAATATTTTAAATTGTATGATTTTTTTTGGGGGGGAATAATAATTTAGCGATACAATTCTTACTAATTAAACTATAACAGAGGTGGGTTCATATCTTTTCCTCAAGTGTATTTGAGTCTAAGTTAATATAACAAACCTAACTGGAACTCAACGCTGATTAACAATTCCGAGCCATTATACATTACACTACTCACAGTTTACAGCACCAAGTGGTCACCCATCTATGTACTGACCAAGCTCAAAGTTGCTTAACTTTGATGATCGTACGGTAACTGGTGTTTCAATGCTATATGGTCGTAAGCCGTCTTTAGGTTTCAGATGCTGCGTCTCAAGTGGTCACAATGGCTGAATGCAGAAAAAACGTTGTGATCAAAATGTGACAATTGAAGAAACCATTCTAGTTTATTCATGTGGCTCCACAATGAGACAGGAAAGCTGCTACTATATTTTGGAAAATGGGAAAAGTGCACAGTGTCAGATCGTGTTATCTCCTTATAGCGATGACCTGGGACGGTCTGACGCAAGCCGGCAAAACGGTTCCTCTTTTATGGAGCCTGAACTTCCCCCTCCTGCCAGCCTAATTAGGAAAAATCATAAATCAAAGCTCCCAGCCCACACTCGACATAGACCAAAATATTTGGTCGAGCCTGAACTTCTCCCTTCTGCCTGCCTAATTAGGAAAAGTCATAAATCAAAGCTCTCAGCCCACACTCGACACAGACCAAAATATTTGGTCGGGGCTGAATTTTTCCCTCCTGTCAGCCTAATTAGAAAAAATTCATAAATCAAAGCTCCCAGCCCACACTCGACACAGACCAAAACTGAACTTCTCCCTCCTGCCTGCCTAATTAGACAAAATTCAAAAGTCATAGTCAGGACTGATTGGATATAAATATTAACCTCCAAGTCAATTGAGCTGTGCTTCCAATTAAAGGACCATTCTTCTACTCTCATCTCGTTTAATGAGCATCATCGTATATCGCCATAATGAAACAACTTTTCCGACTGGGCCATCTGCAACTAACCGAAGCCGTGGCTGGTGATCCAGGAACGGTGAGAAAATATTTCATGAATTTGCCTGTCGTATGAGGGTCGTGTGATTAACGCAACACTTGTCGTCACAAATGACGTTACACATTATATATCATATATTGTCGGACTTTGTCCATTTCATAATGTATGACGTCATTTGTTTACATTTGGATACACATTGAGCAGATATGAAAGAATGAGAGAAAATAATGGAGAATTGTGTTTAAAAATAGTAAAATCGACCTTGCTAACCGAACGTTCCTCTGTGGCTCAATCGGTTAAGGCCCGTCAGGCTATATGACGGTTCCGTATAGGATACAGGTTCGATTCCTGTCGGAGGACGCATATTTTCTATGAAGATTTCTCGGATATTCAGGCCTGTAAATGTTGTTAATACTGTTTATTATAAACAGAGCATTTACTTAAATATTTGCATCTATAAAAAGAACGTGTATATATATATATATATATATATATATATATTAATCATTTCACCACTAGTACGCAGGGGATTACAGGTATTGTAAGTGAATGAGAAGATTGAAAATAGGCAGGATTGAGGAAAAGACGATAAATGAACGTGTTTCAAGAAAACAGAAAATGGCGATTGACGTTGCCTTTAAATTTTTGAAGATTGTAGTCATCAGAGAAGCAAGTAAACGGAAAGATGGACCAAAGGTGAGAAGTGCGAGAAAAGAAACTGTTAGCGTAGAAGTGGCGGTTGCACTTAGCTATTTCAACAGTAAAAGGATGGGACCTAGCTACCAACCTAGTAGCGCGCTTGAATTCATGTATTCGGAGCAACAAGGAAAAAAAGCTTGTCGGGGTAGTTGCCATGAAAATATTTGTAGAAAAACAGGAGGAAGCCACGTCACGGAGGTGAGAAAGTAACTGAAGTTAAGATGCCTAGTCAAAATCAATTACATTACAGATCCTTCCTTGTCAAGAACCTCGAGATGTACAGCAGGAGCACCAGAATAAATATGACAGCAGTATTCAATGCACGGACGAATGGTAGATTTATAAATGTGCAAAATGCATTCTGACAAGAAAAACGTTATGGCCTCGACACAGTGAACCAGCTTTCCTTGCCATAGACGTAGCAATTGATTCGATACACTATTCATGTTAGTGGAAAGCGTGAAACCAAAAAGTTTCTAGAGGCTAGCGTCAGCAATGCTGATGGCAGACAGAAAAATATATGTATATACAAGTTTCATTAGTATATATATAAATGGTATATAGTATATATATTTAATTAAAGACGATTGACAAAAATACTGCTATTTAATCAAGTTTTTAATCAATTTTGCTGTGTTCGTATAAATGTTTTCTTTTCTGGACATAAACTGTGTAAAAACTATGAACACGGCGACAACGTGCTGACCGTGTTTGGAAAATAAAAAAATGCCATCACTATAGATACACATATATATAAATCTACATATTCAGTTAAAAATTAAAATATCCTTGATAATTGCTTATAGAATAGCCGAAAGCACTCGGATATATATCAAATAGGAACAATTTTGTCACAATTTATGCCCAGAAAAGAAAACACTTATACGAACACAAGAAAAAATTGAATAAACAGCTTAATGGCTGTACCTTGTTAGTCGTCTTTACTGAAACTTATATAAGAAAGGTATTGCTGCCCAAATACATAATTTATATATTTGTGTGTGTGTGTGTGTTTTTGTCCGTGTGTGGATATATATATATATATATATATATATATATATATATATATATATATATATATATATGAGTAGTGTGGACACAGAGATCCATACCAAATAGCAAAACTCTGCTTGAAAGCAATTTTCAGGCTTAAAACTACATATACTTTATGCAAGATACTGAGAACTTTTACCCTATAAATGTACCATAACTTTTAACTATATATATATATATATATATATATATATATATATAAGTAACGAAAATCTTGGTGATCCGTATGGATAATCCCAAGGAGGATGAAATATACACATACATATGTGTGTGTGAGTGTGTATTAGTTTCATTAAAGACCACAGACAAGATACTGCGATTAAGTTTTTTTATTTAATTTTCTTATGTTGGAACAAGTGTTTTCTTTTCTGGATATAAAGTGTGTAAAAGTTCTCTGAATTTTCTGCATATCTGAGCGCTTTCGGCTATTCTTTTAGCCATTATCAAGGATGATTTTTATTTTGTTATTTTTGACTGAATGTATGGATTTTTTATATATGTATCTAGAGTTATAGGAATGATTCATTTTCCAAACACGGTCACCACATTGTAGCCGTGTTCATAGTTAATGATAATAAGTGTTGGCTTTTTCTTTTTATTGCTTCCATTATCTTTAGTCTTTTTTACATGTGGATGAGGCTATTACCCTTGTATTTTCTATAAGTAGGCTGCGGATGGAGTTTAGTAGTTTTCCGTGTCTGTTTAAATGGGTCCTAATTGAGCTGTGGTCAGAAAGGTGTAATGTGACAAATGATAAGAAATAAAACACCAAAATATTCGATTATACAAATCATTCTCTGGGTTAGCCTACTCTTTGTCGAAAGGCAGATATTGACAGGTCATAAGTTTTATACTAATTATCAAGAATCAGAAAAGCAATGATGAATAAAAAAAATTTACCTTAAAACAAAATTCGTATCTCTGATATTTTTTTCTTTTTCCATTGATGTTTTCTTGATTTAAGGCGTGACATTTACATCTTTTCGTTTAACGCCCAAGTAGGTTACAAAAATGGCGAATCGAATTGCTGACTGACTTCTCAATAGAAAAAAAACAATACTTTTTTTTGCGTGATTTCTTTCTCGTGATTTTATCGGATTTTTTGACGTCTCTCCATGTGCGAGTTTTTATTCAACGCAGGAAGACATTCTCGTTTTACACCGTCAGAATTATGTAAATGAGAGTGTATAAAGTAAAGCCATTGTGTTGTAAACAGGGCCGATGGAAGGGGGTCACGTGAAATCTATGATAAGGGGCCCAATTCTACTACTACATCTCATTTGCTATAAGGTCAATCAATTATGTGCCGTACGTGATACACGCTTAGGCGATGATGTATCTTCCGATACATGACTGACGAGGCAGATTTTTTTTTCCCGCAGTATATTGCTATTTCTTCCTGCGGTAGACCAGTTACATCCAAGGCTATAGAAGTCGGTCTGTCCTGCTACTTACCCAGAGCTGGAGGGGGAGAAGAAGAGGATTCATACCTTTCTCAATTGTATTAGCACGTAAGTAAATTTTACTCTGTTATGTGCCGTACGTGATACACGCTTAGGCGATCATGTATTTTCCGATACATGACTGACGAGGCAGATTTTTCCCGCAGTGAGTTGCCATTTCTTTTTGCGGTAGACCAGTTGCCATCCATGGCTATAGAACCCTGTCTGTCCTGTTACTTACCCGTAGCTGGGGGGAGATGAAGTTGATCCATACCTTTCCCAAGATTATTAGCATGTAAGTGAATGTAATGGATTCGGAAGTATTCGTATAAAATACAAAATTTATTGTAACCTAATCGTGTAAAATTATTGATTGGACCCCTCGACGTGGTGTAATTGTTAGCAAGCTTGTCTCGCCAAAAACAATTGCGACTAAATCCGCTGACCTCAGATGGACCGAATACATTGAGTCAATAGCTTCGTCCGCCGCTAGGAAAGTTGGCTCCCTGTGCCGCGCCAGGAAATTTTTCTCACCGGAGTCAATCCTTCAAATCTACAAATCAACCATTCGCCCTTGCATGGAGTATTGCTGCCATATATGGTCTGGAGCCCCTTCTATTTGTCTCAAGGTCATTGATAAAATCCAAAGACAGATATGCAATGTAATTAGCCCAGATCTGGCAGCTCGTCTGCAGCCGCTCTCTCACTTTACAAATACTTTCACGGTAACTGCTCCAATGAGCTGCTTTCGCTGGTTCCCAGACTTCATGAATTTAAACGTTCAGCTAGGCTGGCATCTTGCTCTCACCCTTTCACTGTCGAAACTGTTAAATGTAGCCGTCTCTTCTACTCCAATTGTTTCATGTTTCGCATTTCTCGCCTGTGGAACTCCCTCCCTAATTCTTGTTTTCCTAATAGCTATAATCTCCAATTATTCAAATGTAACGTCAATCGACGTCTCCAGATGCCCTGATCTATCTCCTAACCTTCTCTTCATCCTTTCCTCTATCACTCCTATTTGCTCTCACTCCAACTCTCCTTGCATGCTAGTGGCTTCCCGCCTTGCTTGGGGTTGACTGCTTAAAAAAAAAA